TATGGGCTATGGGATTTCTGTTACCAGTACCCCTTTGGAGACGTTCTCGTGTGATCTAAGCACCTGGAATGGTTGTAATTTACCTGAGCCATTTGGCTTTTATTGTATGAACACAGAGTGTCCAGTATCTGAACAGATTGTCCTTTTTCTCTTGGCCTCCGGAAGCTCAGAGTCAAATAGGTAACTCCCTTTCAGCAGGTGGACATTTGGGAAATTGCAGGGTGGACTTGTAACTCTCTCCTTCTGTCCTGCTTGTCTTTCTTCTCCTGTCCTCAATTTGCCTTTTGCCATCATGCTGTACTTCCTTCTTCTGTGTTTGTCCATCTACTGTGGCTGGACTTGAGTTGATAGAGGGTAGATTGGTAACCAGTTACCACATGGTCTATGGTTTTTGTTTTTTTTTGTTTTTTTTTTGGTCTATTTTCTTGATCTATACAAAGCACAGGAATACTTCAGACGATCACTAGGCCATGCATCCTGCTTTGCTGGAAGCCCAGGAGCTGCACAGAAAAGTCATGAACCATGTGTACCCCTGGAGTTTGGACATACATGTGTGATAAAGTGCAGGACAGGGGCCTGTTCCTAGAAACTCTTCTGTATTGAGAGACACTGAGGTCCACACAATAGATGACAAATTCTGGCAGCGTGGCATAGAACTGACAGGTGGGCCTGGCTGTCCCAAAGAAATAGTGGCTCAAAACAGAATGTAAGGCTGCTTTCGGCTCTACTTTAAGCCAGCCCCTCTTCAAGGGAAACAGAGGGCTGTGGTCTGAAAATAAGAACCAGGTCACTGGGGCCACAGGCCTGCTGCTGTGGGACCCCAGTATCAAAGAACAGACTGTTGGAAAGACATTGGCTCAGTGGCTGCAAGTTGAAGTGGTCACCAGAGGTTCGCAGGTGGAGGCAGTGAGGTGCCCGGGGGTGGCTGTGAAGAGGAGAGGGGTCCCTACCCTGTAGAGGGCCAGGACCTGCCAGCACTCAGCTCGGGGGCAGCTGAGCAGGCCATCTACCATTGGGTGGAGGAAGGGAGGTGAGGGGTGGACGACTGACCTGATCCAGGAGACTAGGGGCAAATGATTGATATGACCTTGCTTGGGATATGTAAGCTGGGATGCCCAGAGGTATAACTGAGCCCTCCTAAATCTTGTCTAGAACACAGCTGAGAATTGGATTAATTAGACCATTAAGTAAAATTTATTAATAATTTTTCCTTTGAGCTTCGACATATCTCTGTAAAAGTGTGTTTTGCATCACACCCTCAAGTGTATGTTTGTGCGGTTATCTTTCCCTGTCCTCTGCAAACCTTGTGAGGGTAAGAATCATATCTGTCAATCCTGTGCCCCTGCACAGACCTGTAAAAAACAAAAACCAAAAAACGTCATTAAATGTTTCTAGGATAATAAGCAGGGTAATGAATTCAAATGGGAAAGACACAACCACCTTGGAAGCACTTTATCTTCCTAACCCCCTCTCATCACCTTGTAAGTGAAAGGCTTGGTCCTTGGTTTCTGGGGAATACATTCTTTCTCTGGTCTATTAGAAAGAGCATGGGTTCTGTGGTTAGGTCACCATAGATTTACACTTGCCTCTGACACTTTCCTTCTGTGTTACCTGAGCAGGTCGTTTAACCCTTTAATGCATCAATTACCTTATACTTAAGTAGGGATAAAAATCTACTTCACAAAGTTGCGAGGATTAAGTGAAAGCAAAGGTGACAGTGTCCGTAATCAGTGCCTAGTTTATTGCCTGACATGGAGCAAATGCTCAAGAGAGCACGCTTCTTATATTAGTCAGGATGTGCAAGGCTCTGCTATGGTAATAACTAAGCCCTAAGATGTCAGTGGCATATTAAGACTAGAAAAGTCGGCATTTTGCTCCTGTTATGTTCAGTGACAGTATTACCGGTCAGGCGACTGTCTGGGTGACACACCTCCAATGAATGTCTCAGGGATCTAGACATCTTTCTTCCTTTGATGGCATTGCCTTCAAGTACACCTTTGAAGGTCTTCACAGTGGGGTGAGAAGGATTGCTAGTAAGAGATTATTTTGGGGGGGCTAGTCTTGCACATGGTGAGTATCACTTTATTGCACATTTCCAAGGTTTACCACATGGTTTTCCCCAGATGCAAGGTGGCCTGAAAACACAGAGTTCTTGTGTGCCCAAGAGAGAAGACTTCAACAGTTCGCCATGCACCTAGCGTCATCTTGGCCATGCTTTCTTTCTGTAGCCCTGGATGCTATCTCAGTTTAGGACGATTTGTCAGTTCTGCCCGTGAACACTTGAGATGCTGCAGGCTCCCCTCACTTGCTAATTCCAGCACATCGGGATCTGGATGTTGTCAGTGGCTTTGACGTGGTTGATTTATCTTCCACAGGCTGGGAGACAGGCTCCAGTGAGGCAGCGGTGGTGTAAGGATGGGAGGGTGGCCCTCTGAGCAATTGGAACTGTTGCTGCTGCTACTATTTTCTAAATTTTAAATGGAGTGTGTTGTGTTTTCGTCTCTGTGGCATTCACTGTGCTGTTCTGGTCAGAGAAGGTCTATAGAGGAAGTGATTTGGGGGAGGATATAGTTTGGAATTTTCAGGCAGGCAATATGGGGAAGAAGCTTTCTAGGTATTAGAAGTGATAAGTAAGTATGAGAATGGAAAGAGCAGGTGGAGCTTGGGGACCGCTGTGGGCTCACTGTTACTGGAACGTAGTTTGGTCTCTGTCTGGCATCCCATTCACATTTATGGGTTCATTCAATCAATGGATATTTCTTAAGCCCATCCTCTGTTCCAGTGCCATTCCCAGCCATTCTGAAGCTTACTGTCTAGTGGAAGCTGGTTGATTGCCTCTGTCCTTGCCTTTCAGAGGTCTCCCTTGTCCACTCTATCTGGGATGAAGTCTCCTCTGCTTTCTTCCCCTGACCTTTCCTCTTGTCTCTTGCCTCTGACACTTGGGACTTCCATTCTTGTCTGTTGACCCTTGTCCATCCACACTGGGCATTGCCCTTCTTCCCTTTGTTTCCCGAAGCACCAGTGACACAGGGCTGTTGTATGTCGCCAGCTCTCAGTGTGGAGTTGGATGTAGTGGAGGGACGTAACATCATAGGACAGGGAACTGTCTCCAATTCATGGTCAGAAAGGCTTCCTGGACCACATCAGCCTAGGGGTCCTCTCAGTCACCCCAACCGCATCCTTCATAGCACATACAGGAATGCAGTGTTACTTACTAGTTTGCCTGTTTACTGTCTGTCTGCCTCACTCATGCTAGTGATAGCATGCCTCTTTTGTAAACCACTGTATAGATAGCACCTTGTACTCTCCTGGATCTACCCTAAGAGCTCAATTAAATAATTGTGAATGAAAGAACGAATCAATGAAAGTAAACAGAAATTTTAGTTTCTACCAGTTCATCAGCCATTTCGCATCACAGGAGATTTCTCATTGGCTTTCACCTTCTGTAGGTGTCTGCTTTATAATGTGTTTCTTGGATCTCTCTCTCTCCCTCTCCTTCCCTCTCTCTTTAGGTGTCTATACTGCAAATTCCTGTTGCTTTTTAGTGCAAAGCTATTTAATTCTCTCAACTCAAGCCCCAACCCTTGCACTACCAAAACAGGTCCAGCTCTCCTTTGCCCAGCCCAACTCTTCTGGGTTTCCATACTCTGCAAGAAAGGAAGTGGAGAGAGCTTTGCCATCATAGGTTTACTTTAGCAGTGTGTATCAGATCTGTCAACAGGCCTTCCACCAGCACTAAGCAGAGGAAATCCCAGGTCTGGGGGTAGAGAAGGGATTTTGTCCTTTGTTGCTAATGGAGACAATGGTGCGATATTACATGAGGCTGCAGACACAGGAAGGGGCTAGCAAGGGGTGGTTTCTGTACGTGGAGGAGAACCATGGATGTGGTTTGGATGTGTGATGGGGGAACCAATGGTTGTTTAGGGGAGGGAGATTGTGATGTGATGAGGTCTGAGCAGTAAGGAGACAAGAAAGGGCAGTGGGACTGTGGACCCGCGTGTGAAACTCGGTCCTGGTGCTTTCTCTGTTCCTCTGTGCGTCCTGCCAGCTCACCCCGGAGTACTCTGCCTCTTGCTCTGTGCTCATGGAGATGCTCCTGAACTTTAGAGCCCTGATTAGTTCTCCTCTTCCCCTTCCCCTTCCCCTTCCAGCATATAGTCACCTCCTGCTTCTCTGGAGAGACCAGCATTTCCTAGTTGGAGCCCCAATTCCATACCACACATCTCCCTTAATGTCACCTGGAGGGGACTTAGAGCCCATAGCATATGCTCAGCAAAATCCAGCTTACACAACTCATTGCAAAGTGGTGGGTGATGGATGGCTTGGACTTTTAGGGAGAAGCTTTAAATACTGTCAGCCTTGACTGTATTATCTTCCAGGTGCATGATTGTCTAATTCTCTACACATTTGATTTTTACTCCACGAAAACTTCTTTTATAGGGAAGGAGGTGGGTGTTGAGAATTTATTCTGTGCCAGTTTTTGTATGTTTTTCCATTTAATCCTCCTGATATTTCTGTCAAGTGGATCTTTCCCTCCATATTCCAGGTGAGGAAACTGAGACACAGATGGCGGAGCATCTGGTCCAAGCTGACCCAGCTTTGCAAAGCTGAGATTCGTGTCTAGTTTTTCAAGACTCTGAAGCTAGTGCTTGCTCTGCAGCCTTGCAGCATCTCTCCATGTTGGAGGAAGCAATTACAGAGGCATGCCCTGGCATTCATTTTTCCTGCTGAGAATGAGACATTGCTGTTTACTTTCTCAGGAAGGAAGATTGAAATCAATGTAACTAGCCTTATTAACTTTTTTAAATAGGGGGCCTGCAGATGCCAATGTCTTCCTTGAGAGCGCCAAAGCAAATATAAAAATCCAATTTGCTTGCCTGAAAAAAAATCTCCTCCAGAGTTTAAAATTCAAAGCTGTAAATGAAGAGCTGATGAGACGGGGGTAACGAACCAAGCCCCAGACACAAGGGTATATTTACTCACGTCTCTTTTGTCTGCAGGTGGCTGTTCCTTTGATGACCACTACAGCAACTGTGGTTACAGCGTGGCCCTGGGGACCAATGGGTTTACCTGGGAGCAGATTAACACGTGGGAGAAACCAATGTTGGACCCAGCGGTGCCTACAGGTACGTGACCAACTGTGTTTCAGGCTCTGTTGGGGGTGGTAGCTTTTATGATGACTCATGGGGAAGAACTTTCTTCTGGATCAAGCTGTTGGGGAGGGCAGTAGATAACTTTGTTGGTAATAAGTTCCCCATCCCCAGAGGTATGCAGACCAAGGCTGGGTGAATTCTTAAGCATATGGACGAAGTCATATGTCATCTGGATTCAGGACATTTTAGGATTTCTTTTAGCTTTGAGATTCTAAGGTTTAGCTACCAGTGGGGCATCACTGAGTTTTGTCTGGGAGGCTGATAGTAGTGGGATTTGGGGGGAAGAAAGCTTCTCAAGAATTTGAGGTCACTGTTTTCCTTCTGGGCCACACAGACATAGCTTGTATATATGTAAGGGAACCGCTACAGTCCAAATATTACTCATAAAGTTTTTGTCCCGACATTCTGAATGCCAAGTTTATCCTTCACCAGTGGGACTGAAGGCCTAATATACATTCCTGATGAATACCTGCGTGATGTAGGCCTATGAGAGTCACAGCCAATGTATTCTAGGGGAGATACACCTGGAGGAGGTGCCTTTCTGTTCTGTTTGGCCTTTCAGAGGATTGGATGACGCCCACCCACATTGGGGAGTACTGTTTGCTTTATTCAATTCTCCAGTTCAAACGCTAATCAAGTCTGGAAACACCCTCATAGACACACCCAGAAATAATGCCAGGTATAAATACCAGCTATTTGGGCATCCCTTAGCCCAGTCAAGTTGACACACAAAATTAACCATCACACCACGGATGGCCTCAACTCTCCCCATGACTTCAGTTGCCGTCAGACATCTCTTAGGAACTCGTGTACACAGCCCACTGCCCGGATGCCTTGTCCTCCCAGCTGCTCTGAGACACAGCTTTGCCAGGATGTCATTAAGCTGGAGAGAGATGCTCAGAGATGTCTAGGTGAGGGTGTGGCCCGTGTGACCTTATTGACTCTGAGTTTGGCCCCAAAGCAGGAGGCTACTGGATGGCTCTATCTAGTTCCTATTAAGGGCATCCGTTGTTTGTGTACGTTTCTCCCGAGTATAGACACAGCCCCAGGTACCGTAAAGCTGCGACATGGTACGAAATTGAGCTTTTCAGATCTGGTGGGATCGTGCTTGACGTGAGTGCGCAGAGTCATCAACAGCTACACGTGCCCATTAGCAAGGTGACCATGGGACAACCTCTATGCCTGTTGTCCCATCGTAGTGTTTTTAAAATGCTGACTTTACTTTCAAAAATGTCTTGGCTTACGTGATAGAATCACTTTTTCCATTGGAAACCCCAGGCGTGCAGTGCACCTCTGCTGAAGGCTACCTACCGCATCTGCTGTTCTCTGTGTGGCCAGCTTTGATGTTGGCCAAATAACTTCAGATCTTCTAGTGCATGTGTGTGCGTGGCGTGTGTGTGTGCGTGGTGTGTGTGTATTTGCACGCACACATAGGCTCTTGCGGCTCATCTTTAGCCCACTGGATGCCCTGTGGGGTCATGCAGACTCTCCAAACTCAACATCTCCCAAACTGAAGTCCTGATTCATCTCCATCTACTCAAGCTCTAATGCTCCTTGTCTCAAAAGGCCACTTCCTCACTCGTGCTGATTCAGAAACCCAGGGGTCACGCTTCTCTCTGACCTCTCCCCTCTCCCCTCTCCTTGTCAATCACTCCGTCCTGCCCCTTTACCTCCTGAGCCCATCGCAGGTCTGCTCACGCCTCTCTATCTCTGCCGCCGCTGCCCCGGTGCCACGCGCCGTCTCCTCTCGCCTGGGTCACTGGAAGCCTTTCACGCAGACTTCTCGGCTTCCTCTTCTGACTTTTACCCACTCTCTGCACAGAAGCCAGAGATTGTTCTAGAACGTAGGCCCGTTCACATTATCTCTCCCTCTCATTATCATTATCGTTCTCTCGCCCAGCTTCTGCCTAGAATCTTTTGGAGGCTTTCCTCTGGCTCTGAGAGAGGAGACCAGTGCCCTGCTGTAGCCTCCGAGGGGTCCAGCCCCCCACATCCCAGTCCCCCGCCGTGTTCACTTCACACTGGCTTGTCTCAGTTGCCAGAATGCTCCAGACCCTTTCCTGCCTCAGGGACTCACGTGAGACTGGCACTCTCCGTAGAACTTTCACCTCCACCCCGTTCTCTTGTACTTCCCCTTCGTATCTCAGCTCTTGCATCTCTTCCTTAGGCCGGTGCTCCCCAGATCCTCCAGTCTGGGTCTGCTCTCTCTGTAAATGTCCCCCATTGCACCCTGCTCTTTTCCTCGGGAACACGCATCACTGATGTTACTTGTTCGGTGTACACTGTATCGCCAGATGAGAAGTTCTATGGGAACAAGGACCACGGCAGTCTTGTTCCTGGACTATCTTTACTGCTCCATTCAGTGCGTCACACACAGTATGTACGAAATACCATTGTGTTGGATGGATGCATGGATGAATGGGCAAATAGTCTTTATCAAGTGTTTCTTTGATGAAGAAATGTCTGATAAATGTTATTAAATGCCTTTGGGCCCTTTATTAGAGCACATTTTAAATCTTTGCTACCATCCTTCCATTTTACAGATCAGAAAACCAAGGTTCCCGGCAGCCACGTGACATCGCTACTTTTCCCACCATGCCACTTTCGCTCTTGGAAGGAGCAACCCTTGCTCCTAATCTTAATTTTCTCAGACCCTTATTATGGCACAGTGGCATTTCATAAATATTGGAGTGGACTAATACAATCTTCTGAGCTTTTCTAAATAGAGGCATTTGATGATGATTACTGAAGTTATTCTGTTGTGATGCACCTGTGGGTCGCAGCAGCTCCGTGTGCTTCTTAGGCAGAGAGCCATGAAAGTGAATTTGGATTAGGTGAAATTGTTTGTCCTTCTCATGGGCAAAGGCTGAAATCTTCCTCTTCCTTCTGTAAAGCCAGCAGTTTCCATCCTTTTGGAAATCTAGTGTGGCTCTATGTATTCATATGTCCCACAACCTTTCACTGAGCCCCTCCCATGTGTCAGGCTCAGTGCTAGGCTCTGGGTCAGTCAGCCTCTGCCCTTTGGGCACTTCCGCTGGTCCAAAGGATGAACCCTAAACTCCTCACCACGGCCTGCAAGGTCCTGCATGATCTGGTGTCTTCTCTGAGCCCCTTTTCTCCTCTCTCAAAATGTTCCAGACACACTGGTCATGTTTCAGTTCCCTGGGCATGTCCGAGTCTTTCCTGGCTCAGGACCTTTGCACGTGCCGTACCCTCTCGCTGCAGTCATTTTCTCTACTCTTCAGTTGCCTGGTTTTGTCAGGTCTCAGCATCACTCCTTCTCAGGGAGATGTGCCTCACTGTTCCGTCTAATGAAAGACTCCCTCGATGTTCTCACTCATAGCGTCCTGTTCTTCGCTTTCAAAGTCCTCATCATCGACTTGTTACAGGCCAGCTTATTCCAATCCTGCACCGTAGCTGACTGACCCTGGGCCTTAATCCCTCTGCCTCAGTTTCTTCATCGTTAATGTGGGAACCACTGTGAGAGTTAAATGGGCTGATGCCTGTGTGAGTGTGACGTGTCTGCACATAGTAGGGCTTCATCAGTGCTGGTTCTCTTAAGTTCTTTCCTGGTTCTTACAGTCTCTGGGACTGTAAGTCTAAGTCCACCTTGGAACCTTGCCCCTTTTTCATACCCAGGATACATTGCTACCCCGAGGGAGAACACCTCTTCCATCTTGAGTCTGTTAATTCAGTGCTAGACACAGCCCCTCATCCCACTCTTTTTCCTCATCCCTCTCCATGGGAAAAGCCCTCAGGCTAACATTCCAGGCTTCAGCCCTGGTTTTGCCCCCACCTCATCTTTACTGGGGCTGTCGCAGAGGATGGGGGTTACTGCACCCACAGACCCTCTCCCTAAGCCTCCATCTCGCCCAGGGAACTAACTGGAGCTGCCACTGGTTCTCAGCTCTGCCTTCTCCAACCTTGGCATGAGTGTCCACATGTCCACCCTGAGGTCCAGCCCAGGGCCCAGCAGGAGGGTCGCTGGGGGTGCTGAGGGGAGATGGAAGTGCTGTCAGTGTTCTTTTAGCGGGATTGAAGCCAGAGGAAGTGGGGCTGGGACGTTTACTTCTCTTTTTCCTTCTGATGCTTGTAGGACATTAAGTGTCAGACTGAACCTCAAGCTGCAAACCCAAGTGCACAAGAACTGAGGCATTTACATCAACCCTGAGCCTCCAGGGCGTGAGCCATTACATCGTAGCCTTTATTGGGCCTCCCCTTTCCCTAGGGCTTTACTGACATCCTGGGACTTAAGCAGGTCATTGTGGTTTCCTCTGAGAAGCCCGCTGTCACATTCCTTGTGGTCCCTTTGGGGCTAATAATTCTGCTTCTTCTTCCCGAGGCTTGGAGCCCTTCTCCTGAGTTGAGCCAGCCCAGGTGCATCACCCAGCATCCCTTTTGGGGTCTGTTCCCTCCACGAGTACCATCATCCAGCAGTTTGGGTCAAACAAATCCATTCCTTTCCTCCTCCCAGTGTAGGAACTTCTCCCCTCTCCTTCCTAGCCTTCAAAACCACACCCATGTTAGGCCAGCCCTTCTGGAACTCACAGTATCATCTGTTTAGTAAGTTTAGACCTTAAAAAAAAAATAAAAAACAAAGAAAGGAAGAAGGAACCCTTGACTTCAAGCAGCTTCTTCTCTCCATCCTGTACAAGTCTCTAGAGCAGAGAAATACAAAGAGCCCAGTTAGTCACCTGATTGGAAAGGGCAGGTGTTGGGAAAAATCCAGAGTAAACATATACACGTACAGACGGGAATATTTCCGCCAATCAGCCTGCCATGGAAGCAGGCACAGATCCAGAACGGTGCTGGCTTTTCCTTCATGCCACTGGCCCCTTGGCCGCGTGTTTCTGCTTTGCTCTAACTGCTGATATGTATAGAGAGAAGGTTGGGGTCTGTTATGGGTTGAAATTTGTCCTGCAAAGAGATAAGTGAAGGTCCTGGTCTTGGCACCTGTGAATATGATTGTATTT